CAGGACTATTTTATTTATTTATTTATTATATTTTCCCCGTGGAGCTTCAGACACTGGGATTTTGCAACCTTGATGAACATGAGGTTATCCTCCTTGCCATGCCACTGTGCTTGATATGGACTGCCAGGCAATCACTGCTTTAGGAATAATAATAATAATAAAAAAAAATCTTAAAGAAATAACCAGAGAAAGTCATGATACTCTGTAAGGAAAAGTATGATCCATCACCTGAGCCATGCCATTTCAGAAGCCTCATGCATTAAACATAATGGAAGGGAGTAGTACAGCTCCAGTTCAATATGTGACTTGTGAGCTATCACAGGGCTTCTGACTCAGTATTACTAAGAAATGTTCCCTGACTGTCACTGCAAAGGTATGCGAGGGAGATTCTCTAAGGACCAATTAATGGGAATGGAAGAAAATTCTGGTAGATTGGTTGCCAGTGGGAGGAAAGTGAGTGGAGAATGGTGAAGAATAATGCATGTTTGCAATTTACTTATTAGCCCCGAAAAAAAAAAAAAGGAAAAAAAAAGAGCAACACATGCCAAACGAAATAACAAAAGATCCTAGCAGCATTTGTAAATACCATTTTAATTATTTAAACTGAATGTGAATAGGAAGCTGGTGCTTTTTTTTTTTTTTTAAAGACACCATTGTTAATCAACTCAACAACCCTATTTTATGTCACAAACTCACAGTGTTCTGCCACAGAGGAAACTCACTGTTTCAGTTTCTTAAGGCTTGTATCCTTTAATCACAGCTGAAATAATGGCATCTTAATTCTGGCAAGCTCATGTAGAGATTTATTATTTTCCTGTTCCCTTTCTGTTAATTTGTTTGTTTTTTCCACTTGTGTATCCATTGCTTTTATCTAAGGATCTCCAACCACAATACAAAGCCTCATTAATTAAGCCTCACAGTACCTTGTGCAAAGCAGGGTTCTGAGGGTAAAATTCACCCAGTACTGCACTGCTGTAGTTCAGTTTGAAGACAAAGTGTTTTGTGATTAATTATTGCACAAATTTGGTTGGTGCTGCACATTTTCTCTCCTGTTTTCATTGATGTGGTTGGTCTTGCACCTCTTAAAATCTCATAATTCTGAATCTTTGTCATGGAAAAAGAGTTTTTATCTTTGATCTTGTCTATATTCAGGAAATAATCTAGCCTAATTCTGATTGAGGAAGGTAAATTGTTGTAAAAAAAATATTCTTTCTTTTGAGAATGGCAACCCAACGCCAAATTCTTCTTCCAGCTACACCCATGGAAACCATTTTTCTTCCCATTAGAGCTTAGGTCCTGACACTGTCAAGTATATAAGCATGATATTTACTTTGTTAATCTCATTTTTTAAGTACAGAAGGATTCTATTTGTCATCTTATCTGTGAATAACACTGAAGATTAAGGACTTTGAATAATTGCTGCTAAAATGTGGCCAATAATTTAGCAGAGTCATTAACCATGAGGATTAATTTTGAATTTTGGCATGTAATTGTGGCCTGTTTAGAAATATTCTATTGTCATTAGGGCTGGGTTTGCTCAATTCCTGGTCACAATCACAGGCAAAGTAGAAAGTGAATCAGGTTTGGCATCTGCTCCCTCAGGAATCTGTTTGCTCTGCTTATGCCTGCAGCCTGCCATGATAGTGGGAAGGAAAAAGAACAGATCTGCTGCAGCTTTCACCAGTTATGTTGTGACCCAGGAGATTGTTCTGGGTTTTTGTAACATAAACTTCCTTTGAGTTAACATAAAATATATGAAACTGGTGACTTACCAAAGTAAGGGATGAAGATTGCTACAAATTGCCTTTAGTCTTCAGAGAACAGCATCTTGTGCTACTTGGAATAACATGTAAAAAGTTATATAAAATCAGTCTTTTCCATTTAGCTGCCAAAAGTGTAGTGTGAGCTTGTATGTGCATATATATGTGTTTTTTCACGTGGGAATTGCAGTCCAAAAAATCACAATTACAAGACAGGACTCATCAGGGAAAATAGGTGTCCCTCAGATGTTAGCAAAGTATGAATTCTGTTCTTACTCTCAGAAATTTTCCTTATACAGTGTTCTTCCAACACTGCTTAGCAGTGAATTAAACATAGAATTAAAGCTTTCAATTCAGACCTAGGTAATTTTTAATCTTCAAATAATCTAGAAAGAAGGGGTTTTTAATTTTGGATTTTTTTTAAGAAAGTAGTAAACATAGGATTTGGTATTATTCAGCCTATGTATTTATATTCCTATTTATATTCCTGTAAATACATTTCTTTGGATGTATATTCTATGATCACAACTTTCAAAAAGGAAAACAATTGTTTTCACAGCCCCTGTGGGTGAAAACTGAAACAATCTGCATGATTCTTAAATAATAGTTCCAACAAAAGGATAAGAAAGAGGTCTCGTCTGCTAAGGAATGTATAAGTCTTGAGGCCACCATAGCATGACTGGCACCTAAACACAATATTTTTGGTCTTTTCCACTTTCCACATCCTAAATTGCAAAATTTTTTCCAATTTTTTTTTTTTTTTTCTCTTATTTCAAGAGGTGAAGATTTTCAGTTAATTGGAATAGACAAGAAAAAAGACCAGAATTACCAAGTGGTTGCACCACATTCTACAGATGAAGTAAAAGCTATTTCAAGCAAAATTTTCCTAGTTTTACACTCCTGGGACAGGTCTCCAAGGATATCATCAAGAATGATGTACCTTTGTCCATACTGGTGATCTCTGTGAGTTGGAGTGAACTGAGACAATTCTTTATGAAATCAAAGGACCCAGGTTTTTGAAATTATATAGAGACACTAAGGATGAGAATGCCCATTCCAAAGATAAAATTGAACCCTCGTTTCCTAAATCCAGGTGCTTCCATTTAACCACAGCATCAGTTGTTTTATTGGTAGTGCAATTGTTCAGCTGTGTTAGTTCTGCAAACCCAGAGCAAGGCAGAAGAGAGCTTGGGCTGCTATAAATCTAAAAAGCCACCCCTGAGTGCTTTAATGGACTGAGTAATATCACAAATGAGAGAAACAATCAGTTCAGGCAATTCTTTCTAAAGGTCTTTAGATGCTTTATAAAAAACGTATTTACCAACAAGGCAATTTCCCCACATCAATGAATCAAAGCCAAAATCTCGAGGAGAATTTCTCTTGAAATAGAATATTAAATCAGTCCATTGAAATGGTGCCATAATCCATTTGTTTGGTAAATGAAAAGCAGTTGGCAGTCATCTGCAACAAGGAGGAACATGAAGCACCAGCAAGCAGTGAAAAGAACAATTAGGAGCAGACGAAGTGGGGGAAAGTTTTGCATTTGCATCTTCCAAAATATAACATTTCCAACTTAGGATGAGATTCACCCTCTCTAAACAGAGCTGTTTGAAAGTTGAATGCTTTATTTTGTCTAGGCAAGCACATGGGATGTCTCTAAAGTTATTGCTGAGGCAGGAATCTTCAGGGACCAACTCATCCAAGCCTAAACAGATGCTCAAAGCATCTGAGAAGTAGAAAAGAGCCATTCATGGTGAAAAAAATGGTGCAAAGCTCAACAGTTGCATGGAACAAGCCAGGTAGAGGCATTTCCAGTTCCTTTAACTATGAAAAATGCCTTCCAGTAAATTGCTGAAAAGAATTCAGCCAAGGAAACATAGCCAAGAGTGGCCCTGATGGTGTCCGAGACAATTTCTGTCTGTCACTTACAGCTAAACACAGTTGACAGATAATAAACCAAAAAACATTCAGCTTTTTGGCACAAAAGTTGTCAAGCATCACTAAAGATCAAGCCTGTGGGAATCTGACCAAACAAATCATTTCCTTTGGGGGATTTGCTTGAGGGCTGAGGATCTGAAGAAATGCTGAAGGGATATGAATTGCATATCAATATTCATTGAAACAGATGAGCAGTGTACGTTTTTCTTGGGGCAACCAAAAGTTACAGATGAGCTGCCCATGGGCTTGAGATGAACCACTAGATATCTAAATCCTCTGATGATTTATTTTCACTATAATACTAGCTCCTCCAACATGGTAGAGAAACTGGAGAAACAAAAAAAAAGGGACTATAAATTAAACTTTTTCCTTATTTTATGTGACCACTTTTCTCTCAGAAGCATCAATATCATAGAATCACAGAATAGTTTGGGTTGAAAGATCTTCCTAAACATAGAGTGTGCCCCAGCATGGGAAGTAAGATATTTGTCTGTTCTTTAGAGCATTTTACACACTTACATGCACACGCACACATATGCACAAAAAAACCCCATAAATTCATATTTTCCCACAAAGATGTCCCACACTTATATCTTCATTTGAATTTGAAGCTTCAGCTATGCAATGAAGAAGGTCCTAGGTCAGATGTGTGTGTCCATTCCAAGAGAGCAGAAAAAGGGGGGCAGGGGGAGGGTAGTTTTCTTTCTAATCTAAAGCAATGCCTGTGTGGGAGAAAACACAAGAGTTCCCATGTCTGGTTTCATTTCTTAACTCCAACGGATTAAATCCAACTGGCTGCTTCACTTCTTCTTGCCTGACATCCGGATGTCAGGTACATGGGTTGTCTGTGCCTGGAGACATCCTACACTGCTCTCCTGTCAGACACCAGCCACGCAGGACACCTGATGGTAGCTGAGGATGTTCCTGTCTCACAGCCTCTGCTTCTCTGCAAGCACTTGTCCTTTCTAATTCCTTCAGCTCTGGGGAAGGGAAAACTCCTTCCTTTATTATAGACATAGTATGACTTAGAGGTGTACCCAATGCTTGTGGGCATCTGCAGGGTGGTTTTAAGTTGGTGAGACAGGACTACCAGAACCTGATAACAGAAAAAAAGCTCATTTAATAAAGAGCAAGCAATGAGGCTGTTGCCTTCCAAAAACAAGATCTGAGAGTGTTTTGAAAGACATAGAGGTAAGATATGAGAGAAGACAGGGAGAAGACGTTTTGGATGTGAAATAAGTGACAGTAACAGAACAGATCAGCCAGGGCATGCCTGAAATAAATCTCTGCTGCTTTTGACAGGTTTGTGGAAAGAAGGAAAGGTTGCTCAGCTCTGAGTTGTCCATCTGAAGGAACTCAAACTGAATATTGTAGAATTCCTGGCTGAAGTATGAGTGTCTGGATGGGAAAAGATGATGATGTTGTGCACACACCATAACAGAGAGGTGAGAGAGTGCTTAGTATTTAATAAGAATATTGTAAAATTGATATCACAGTCATCCTATTCATGCTGGATTTCACCTGTAAGTTGATGAAGGACATGAAACTAGAGTACACAAGGGAGAGACTCACAGACACTTTAAGAAAAGGCATCTCTAAGACAATGAACTCAGGTTTTGCTGAGGGTGGTTTTTATTTGTGTTTTGGTTGGGTTTTTTCCCAGAAAACACACAACAAAAATATCTAGAAGATAAAGTTCTGAGAAGAAATGCAAGAAGTCATTTAGGAAACTGAGGAGCTTTACACTTCTAAACTTGATAATTAATGTATTCAAGCTGATCATAAATCTTGCAAATATTCAGGCAGATGGAAGGGAATGGTAGACAGCATGAAGTGGAGAAAGACATTGAACTTCCTAGACCTGTTCCAGACAGATATATGTCAGATATGAGTGTGAACACCAGTGCACATTGACATGAATTTCAGATGTGTTGTGATGCATTTATCTGGAGCAAGGGTATTTAAAGGCAAGTGTGAGGTCTTGGTTTCAAAGCCAATAATATTTCACAATCTTTTGAACCTAAAAATGTCAAGATTTTGACCTCTATGTCTTTTACATCACTCCAAAACATTAAGCTTTTTCCTCTTCATATAATGGACAGATTATTATCTAATATTTTTCATTTAATTAGAACTGCTTTGTTTTAATTTTATTAATCTTCGTTAATGAATATAAACTGAGGCTTAGTCAGGCTTAAAACTCAAAATCCATATCCATGTGATATCTTTCTCTTAAGGTAAAGGAAACTGCCAATATGAGGCAGCATTTCTCCTAAGACTATAAATGTGTTCATCTTTTAATAGCAAATGAGATCAGTATTTTTGGGATTCAACCTGCCCAATTTCTGCTCCCTAAATAAAGGAATTGATGCAACATTCTCATTGGACCACCAATGAAAATATTCAGAAAGTCAAAAAGGTAATTCAGCAGGACTTAAAATTGATGCCTGAGTAAGCAGAGTCAAAAGGCTTCAGTCCATTTCCACTGACAGGATCCTAGATAACTATTTAAAGATATTTAATATTGGTTTCCATTATTTTAATTAGCTTTTGTGTTGTGAGATTGAGTCATAATAATCATATTAGTAAAGCTATCCATGTTATCTGATTGGCAACCAACTCCTGTCTTTTGTGTAGCTACCATATCAGCCTTAGTCAGCAAGAGGAATGAAATAATTTTATGGACAAAAAGATACAATTTTAAAAGGTGTCTAGATACTAATTTGGCTGTTCTCAGAATGATAGTTGTCAATAACATATGATAAATATTACTACTATTTCCTCTATAATCCACAACAACAATGCTGTTCAGATCAAGATTTGTTCTACATCATCATCCCACAAGCATATCCAAAGTTTCCCAATAGTTTATTCAATAAAATATTTAACTGGAACATTATCTTTCTGAATGATAACCACCATCTTCTATCTACCCCCAGCCAAAACTCTTGTTTGAATATCTCTCTCTTTGTGCCTCCAAGAAATATTTGGGATGAATCCCAGTCAGAATGGTGATGAGTGAAGTATTAAACACCAGCTCAAATCTTCAGCTGGAGTAAATTGGTGTAATTCCATTGAAGTTAGTGGTGCTTTGCTGACAGAGACTGATTCAAAGCCTTTGGGAATCTTTTCATTGACTTCCCTGGGCTTTGGCACAGCTAAAGATCTGATCCTTCAAGAGACAATTGACAAGATAAACAAGGTTGGCAGTTGTGGGAAATGTGGGAGGTTCTCTTACTATGGGGGCTGTGGTCAAATAATTGTCAGAAGAGTTAGTCCCAGTTCAAAAGGTGAGAAAAGACTATAAAAAAGCATGAAGGTGTGAATTTTAATGGTAGCAAATTAATCTCCCTGTCAAAAACAAATGAAAGCAAAATTCTTAGGTAGGAAAATACAAGCTTTGTCTACTTCTCATTTTATATGTACACATTCATTTTGCAAACCTCTGTAAACCCTATTGAAACAAAAATGTGTTTACAATGTTACATATTCCATAAAACATGTTTGCTACTCAGCAATCTGCTTGCTCCTCTTAAAATGTATTTTTGTGACAAACAATCATTAAACCTCACAACTGCCGTGTGCAGATAAATGAAACTAGTGCAGATATTACCATTTGGTTGACACATTTGTTTTGACATTGTAAAAAAAGCGTTGAGGTTTTTTTTTTAATAAAAGTCTTCCTTTTTTTCTCAGAAACAATAATATGTTCCTGCAAATGCTGCAAAAGATCAAAAGCTGTTCAGATCATATTTACAGTACTAAAAGCACAATGAATGCCCCTGTAAATGACATGTAAATTACCGAATGATGATTCAACTTCAGTCAGCTTTGCAGATGAATTGAAGGACCTTAATTCCACTTTAGCTTAGAAACCTGATTATTCTACTGCTTGTAAGAAATCAACTTTAATCCTCTTCTAAATGTCATTCAACAGGTTCTTTCTGTACAAAAGATGTAAATGGATTTTTCTTTATAATACCTTTTCAAGTTCATTTTTCTTCCACAGGACAGTCTTAGAAATAATTTAAAACTGAGATATCAAACTAATAACTCTCCTATTCTACATCTCTTCAAGAATAATTTTCTGGAGTCACATCTCAGCTTTGTGATAGCATCGCTCTATTGACCTGCTTTTTATTCTTACAGATGGAACTGAGACCAGAATTTGACTCCACAAAAATGTTTGCACTTGAATATACATTTAGAAAAACAAAATAATTCTCTTAATTCACTGTTAAATCCCTAAATAAGTCATGTCCACATAAAATTGAACACTTCAACATTCTTTCATTATCACTTTGCTTTATTCCATCCATTTCCTGCATTCATGGAGTCCTTCTATGCTACACCAAGATGTTTCTAAATTAAGGACTGTCTTTTTGGCACTTAGCAGTACAGTAGGTCCTAGTTCCTGATTAAAGATATCCTTATCACTGGCAAATGATAATTTTATTTTCTGTTCATGAAGAAAACTAAGTGCTAAAAATCACAGACTGGCTGAGCCACATGTCCAGTGGGTGTAAAATCAACACATGTCCTTTGAGAGTTGTGCTGATTTACACCAATGGTATATCTGGCACCCCAGGTTAGAGTGCTGTTATTTAAGAGAAATGTCCTAGATGATCCACTTATGGAAAAAATTGCAACTCCACAGACCATGTGGCATTTAAACACTCGTTCCTCCCATTTCTCCTCAGAGCATTTGCTCTCCTGGTGGCTGTGAGAAATAAAACTGAGTTCTTGTTCCCTCAGCTGCTCTGTCAACTGTGTCACCTCCCTAAAGGAACACCCCCTCATTCTTTTGAGGAATTTTCCTGGTGTTTCCCTGTTGGCTCCTGTCACCTGGCTCAGATCTGTAAGATTTTTGTTCTGCAGTGCAGTCAGCACATCCCAGAAAAACAAGGTGAGGGCCCTCTCTAAGCACTTCATCCTTCTCACCCTGGTGTGTCATCCCACAGCTTCTCATGGGGAAACCTGATATTGTCCCCTTCCCCCTTCACATTCAGTTTAAATAACCACACTTACTGGGCAGAATTTCATTTACCAGTGCAGATCAGCTGATAAAGTCTAAACTTTCTATTGGTCTTCTTATTTCACCTTTTCAAGCCATGGAAGGGCCAGTCACAGTGTCATATTCTTGGACTTTACATGAACCTACAGGCAGGATGTGGCATATCAAGTCTCTCAGAAAAAGTTAAAGTGGAACAAGTCTTTAGGCAGGTCTTCGCGATTTAAGTTTCATTCTGTATGTTGCATATTTTCCAAAAACAGATACAAAACTTGTACTTTTTGTGTTTTGAGTGTGACCTTAAGCTTAAATCAAGGCTCCCATTCCCTCAAGCAATGTGCAGTCGCTTGGCAAGACTCAGTGTTCACCCTGAAGAGCCAGCGTTGCAAATAGGTAAGACATAAAAATAAAAAAAACAGATAAACCACACATGAGGAGCAGAGGAGCAGAGCATGAGGAGCAGAGCAATGATCAGGTGGGTAATTTTTCCAAGGTGACTCAGAAAAACAATAGAAGATTCAAGCAGTGATCTTCCATGTACACCCCAAAACTTTTACCAGCTCTCACCCCAGTCATCCCCTGCCCTCTAATTGCAGGCAGTGCCTCCTGTGTCACATATTCCAACACACATTACAGTGGATTGTAAAATTTTCCCCTTGGTCTGTCAAGGATAAACTTATAAAATGTTCCTGCAACATGTTCCTAAAGACTTTGAAGGCATCGAAGAGTCTGTTTGCTACAGATGTGGTAAGGTCACAGGACCAGGAGCTGCTACTGAAGGAGAGAATCTTTCTGCACCACTGACAACAAGCAGCATCCACCTCTGCTTTGTAACAGGAGCAAAAGTCTTGCACAGACATTTCTCTTCCTAAGGTCCAGGGGTACCACTTGAAAATATAATCTAGCAGAAGCTGATAAAATTCAGTGACATAAATCATGCTTAGTGTGACAATCCAGCCTGCAGGATAACAATAAATAATGCAAAGAAGATGCAAATGCATTGCATTTTAGCAAACAGTGGCACAGCCCTATTGAAAATACCTGCACAGTCTTGAGACTAAGAGGAGGTTTCTTACATGGCAGAAGTTTTCACATTTTAAATGACTGTGTATAAATATTATTAGCCAAGCCTATCTTTGGCCTCATGCTTTTAGTTTGATATGATGTGACCCGAATTTCTGCCCTAATGTAACTCTCTTATCTAGTCCTCATCCAAGCAGTCTCAGGGGCTGCTGCATTTATGCTTTGAATACAAGAAACCATTTTCTGCTTTTGAGCGGGAAAAAAGCACAACAAGGCACAAAGACTCACACAAAAAGTACTCTTTATGTCAAGGGCAGGGTGATATTCAGACACCCCCAAAAATTAAATTAGGCTGGGATATTTAGGAGGTATAAAACACTCCAGAAGAGAGGGAGAGGTTCCATGAATAAATAAATAAATATTTATATTAGATTGTAAGAGTCAAAGATTTGTCTTTTGAGTCACTATGTAGTGAATGGTATTCTTTATGCTCCTTATATCATTCACAGAGGTGATATACAGGAGTACAGAAATACTTCTGGCCATCTCCCAGAAATGCTCCTCTTCCAGAGTTTGGAAAGAGAATTATTGGGTAGTCATAGAAAAGGATGCTCTCTCTGAATCCAAAACAATTGGTTTGATGAGCTTTACCCAGGCCTCACCCCCTATGTGACTGCTGTAGAACAGTGTATTGTTTAGCTCAGAAGGGTGATACCTGAGATGAAATCCCAGTGCTGACATTTTCTTCCAGGTTATTGGCAGATGTGTGTGTACTTTGGAGATGGGGAGTGTGCATTTCAATTTTTTGTTGTGTGCCACAATTTTTATGATTTTTTTTTTTTTAACAGGACCATTTGAGTTGCTGTTTCTGGAGATTGCCTGACTCAGGTTGATGGCCAAGAGGAAATACCATGAGGTTAGGTTGTATCTTCTTGAAGTCACAGCAGATCTTCCAGTGGGGCTAATGCTAATGGTGATAAATCCACGGATACAGTGAAAATGGTTGGCTATGAGTAGTTCTGCTGTTCAGATATTGCAAAGCAAACAAAGAACTTTGTGATGGAACTTCTCTCAATTCTTTCTTCCTTTTTTGTGAGAAATCCAAGGCTTCTTTCTTGGAAATACTGAATGTATACCACTCACTGGTTTTATTCCTTTTATAGTTAATAGAAATTTGTAGCAGTACACTCATTCACTTTATGGAACCAGAATGTGTACCAGAAATGGAACCAGAATTTCACCCTTAACTCTTTTCTTTTGTTTTGTTTCATCTAAACAGCCTTGAATATGACTAAAGTAATTCTTGACATAGAAAGCAAACAATTTCAATGAAACCTTATTTCTTGAGGTCTATTTGACTGGATATAGCTACATAGGAAGCCTGTGAAAGGAATGTCAGTGCAGGAGCCTCTACAACTTGAGCAAAGTTTTAAACTCTTAACAATCTCTTCTCTGCCACTCATCACAAAACCAGAGAAGTCTCACATGAGTTTGTCCTCCCACAGATCTGCTGCCCTCCTCATTGGGAAGCTCAAGGCACAGCATTTCTGTGCCTGCCTTCCTTAGACTGATAGCCCCTGTGTCTTTACTTATTTAAAGACAACTTCTTCTGGGCCCTTTTACCAAAATTTTTAGCTACAACACTGCAAGCGGAGGGACAAAGGGGGTGCACACCTGTCACAGAGGGAAAGTGAGGCTTAAGAAAAAGGAAATTGCTTTAAACAAAGGCACCATCTCCCATGTCCCAAGACCTGTACAACATAAATTATTCTCCAAAAGCAACAGCTCCTTACCCTTCCATCATCTCAATTAGGAATAAGCAACAGGCGGTGGGAAGGAATACCACACTCCAATTCATGCTGTTTTGTTTTGTTTTACCTTAAAAGTCTCTTTGATATTTTTATACCATCAGACATCAGCCAGCTCTTTTTTTTTTTTTTTTAACTTCATCCCTCTGGACAAGTAGGATATTAATATTATCCCTGTAACAAGCAGCAGAAGGAATAAAACATCTAGGTAAATACTGCAAGTGAGATTAAAACTCTCTAGCTTTCTGATGTAACCCTGTGACATAGCGTTTCTAGTGAATTAAACCAAATGTACAAGTATTTAACGACTAATCCTTTTAAGTATTTTAATGCCCCAATGAAGATTTCTTATAGGGAGAGGCAAAGCATATGTGGTTTCCGTTAGAGTCTGCCTGCAGGCAGAGGATTGAGCAGATTGGCTTTTTTTTTTTTTTTTTTTTTAGCTCTCCCCCCCCTCTTTTAATTAATTAATATTTCCCTGCTTTTGTTGTTTTTGGCGGGCGGGTGCTGAATGGACAGCTCCCGCCGGCGGGGCTCAGGGGGGACTCACCCCGCAGCCGGGGGAGGGAGAGGGGAGGGGGGGCGGCCACATCGCAGCCTGCCTCTGCCTGCAAGAAAGAAGAGGGATACTAAACAGGCTTTCTTCCTCCCCTGGGTTACTACAAACAACTAACCTAGCTCAGGGGGTTCTTTGAAGACAATAAAGAAAAGTAACTTTTCATTTTAGAAACCCATCCTGCAGGGCAGCAGGTAATAAGCTGGTGATAAGATTCCATGTATGCGTCTAAAATTTATAAATAAAAATACACACACATATTTATGTGGATTCAGACTAGGTGAAAGGATGCCTTTTTTTATGGTGAGGGTGCTGAAACACTGGCACAGGTTGCCCAGAGAGGTGGTGGATGTCCCATCTCTGGAAATATTCAAAATCAGGTTGGACAGGTTTCTGAGCAACCTGGTCTAGTTGGAGAGGTTCCTGTTCATTGCAGGAGGGTTGGACTGGGAGGCCTTTAGGGCTCCCTTCCAGCCCAAACTATTCTATGATTCAATGATATATAGCTTCTTCTTATATACAGAACCTCATAGTTATAGGGAATAATATTTTTTCCTCTGTTAATAACCAGGCCGGTGTCATGCACTGCAGGGTGAAAAATCAGTGCTCATCACTATAAACCAAATTGATCTTCTGTTCAAGCTAATCTTTAAGGGTTGCAAATTTAGGGTTAGAGGTACAGTTATAATGAAACCAAATGCTCATATTTCCAGCTGGGGGAAACACATCCTCTTCCTATGCTCTTTTGGATGCACAACAACCAATATGGAATTTGGGGAAGGCGAGTGTGGGTGAAAAGTCTTGGTCATGCACTTGGATCTGTGCAAGAAGGTGGGACTGCTGAAAACACCTCAGAATTTGCTGCTGGTGTGGCAAGTACAGGAGTGTGCTTCTGTACTTCAGAATTTCAAAATAGCAAACCAGAGTTCAGCTGATGTAAATGAGAGGTGGAGCAGTTATTATGTGGATTCATCTAGAGCTAAGATATGAAATAGCTGTGCAAATTATCAAAAAATTTCTCTCTTTCAATATGTTCATAAAATTGAATTATATACCTGTATGATGTAGAGGTGTGTGACATACATATAGTTACAGAGAAGAAGAGTCAAGATCTTTATCATTGCCATAGATTTGTTGCATTTAGGAAATAGAAATATATACAGGAGCATTGTTAGAAATAAAAATTTTGCAGCTTTTTATGACAAACAATATATTCATTTGACTATCATTTAATGCATGGCCGATGTCCCTTGCCCCTAAAGCATACAAACCAAAGTCATATCCTGGTCTTTATTAATCTGAATACCAGTGTCTCTTTCCACCCTGAATGAATGTTGCTTACTGGAGCTAAATGCTCTTCCTTGCTTTTTTTTTTTTTTTTTTTTTTTTTTTTTTTTTTTTTTTTTTTTTTTTTTTTTTTTTTTTTTTTTTTTTTTTTTTTTTTTTTTTGGTAATTCTAGAAATAAAGTTGAGCATTTGTTTCAGCTGAGCGCGTTGCTGATGGGGTCAGTAAGCTATAGCCCATTGTCTTTAAACTACTGAAAACATTACTCTTCAATTGCAGTCATTTTATTGTACAATTTAAAATTCCTGATTGTCCATGTTTTGTTCACTGGGCTGCAAATAATCATTCCAGAACAGCCAGATAATACAAATTGAGAGGAATTACTGCTGAAAATCACACTTCAGCTCACAGTTTAGAAACTGAATAACTACCCTGTCCAAGGAAGGAAGGAAGGAATTTTTCTCATGGTTCTCTAAAATAAAATAAATATTTTTCAGCTTTCAGACTATGGAACTAACATTTGAAATTAAAGACATCTTCCAGACAGACATTATTTCATTCTTATTTTCCCTTTTATTCTTCTTATATTTTAAGCACAATACAAATCAAAATACTTGTTTAGGGCATTTTCCAGAGCTCTTTGAATTCCAGGAAAGAATTCCATTGACTTAGAGGTGATCTTTGAGCAGGTCCCTCATTCAAGGGAGTACTAGTCTTTTACTGCCTGACCTCTGCACCTTCACCACTGTGCTCAGGCCCACAGAGGTCAAAGAGACAACTGGCTTAGACAGGGATTACTGGCAAGAGTCTGGGATGCAGAATGGAGCTCGCAGTGAGCTCCACCAGCACATTCATTATCAAGCCTCTGGTAGCTATTGTCAGGTTGTAAATGATGTCTTCTGTACCAGAGACCTGATTCCAAAATCAGATCCTGAAGGAAAGATCTTATTTCTGGGAAGAAATTAAAAAAAAAAAAATTAAAAATCCTTCTTCAAAATGAATTTTAATGCCCGATTTTAAAGTAATAGAAATCCCAAAATCTCTTGCTTTTATGCATGAGCTATTATGATCAATTGGGAAATTAAAATATGTTTTTAAAGCATAAATACCTATTCCCTCGGTGGAATCTTATGTCTCTGAAGTAGCTGGCTTCAGTTTTGGGGATACATCTTATGCATTTTAATAGCAAATGCCTGAATACTGAACCAATAAAAAATATATAGTGCTTTCTCTTACCTACCCAGGATTCTTGGGTCAATACAAGTCCCATTTTCAAATATGTTAGCAAATATATGTGTTCAGTGAAAATTATATATTACTTAAGCCAAATACAGATTTATTTGAGCTATTCAGAGCAATTTCAGGCTCTTGAGAAAAGAATCTCTTTAAAATATTAATGGTATTACACCTAATTTTAAAGTGTTAAGGCTACAAACTCAGTCTAAGTGGTAAAAAAATCCATGAAAATATGCATCCATGAAGACACACTGGTGGGGAAAAAATGGGGGAAGCCATCAGTACAAGAGTCATGAGCTGAGGGCAAAGATGTCAGCCTTAACTATGAATTTACTCTTTTAAGTTTGTGACACAACTTCAATGTTATTTAAACACGTAGCAGGGCACAGTGTTTAATTAGGCAAAGAAACTTGCTCACTATTACTGCCACTGCATAAGTGTATGAGCAGAGTGGAGCACACTCAATAATCCAAAGAACCTGACACTGTATTATTTATTGGAATGTCTGCATTAATTATGGATGATTCTAATATAAGGTACATCTTTAATACATCACAGTCTACAGATGTTTTAATTCTCCACTACCAGAAAGAAGTTTAATTATAAGATTTTGCCTCATGCATTGAAAGGCATTCAGAAAAATACATGGATAGTGTCTTCTTAGCCAGTTCATGGTCAGGAGAGTTTCTAAAATCCTAGTTTAGCTGACTACATGTGGAGAGTTTGGCTTAGACTTGCCTTATGGGCTAAAACTGGCAAGAAGGAAAAGTAATAGAGCTTTCTTTCAAAGGGATTCACCAGGTAACTGCAGGGTTTTCAGTTCCATCACCAGTGTTTTCTCCTGAGCAGCAAAATCTAAGGCTGTGATGAGAATTTTCACTGAATTTTAATGTTTTAATGCAAAATCCTCACCAGATAGGGAACTTTCCTCAAGCCTTGGCTGAGTATGGATATTATGTTGTATCAAACAGCAGGAATATCCCATAGAGCTTCCTGTTCTGCTTTCTATGGAAGTAGCCTTCAGATCTTCTCTTCAGTAGCTAGATTTTTAAAAAGATGATGAAAGTGTCTTACAAATTTTGCTGAAAGAAGGCTGTTTTTAAACAAAAATGGACTTCAGTTTGAAGAGCAAAGTGAAAATGATAGAGAATGGTTTTCCGAAGTCAACATTTTTTCACTATTACACACTTGTCCTGAGGAATATCCCTCTTGAAACCCAGAAGGTTTTACATTAATTATTAGGTTCAGAGGTCAAGGTTCAAACGTCTATATCACAATATTATAGAATGGTTTGGGCTGGAAGGGACCTTAAAGATCAACTTGTTCCAACATCCTACCATGGACAGGGCACCTTCCACTGTCCCAGGTTGCTCCAAGCCTCATGCAGCCTGGGATTGGACACTTCCAGGGATGGGGAATCCACAGCTTCTCTGGGCAACCTATTCCAGTTCTTCAAGAAGTGGAGCAAGAGTTTGAATAAGGAGTCCTGCTAATTTTCAAGTATTATTTTGGAGCTTTTCACCATAATGTGGTTTCCTAGAATCAGGTTTCATTTTACTCTACAGTTAAATCTCTAACCTCATCCCCTTCCATGAACATAGATGGTTATGTCTGTGTTTCCATTTAACAGTTTCCCAGTGTGGTATTAATAGTGGAAATAACTTGGAACAACAATGCTGGAGAAACCCTCCAGTGAAGCAGTTAGAAAGGATGGTCAGAGCAACAAAACATATTATTACAATTTGAAAAAAAAAAAAAAATTATCATAGAGAAATATTCTTTAAGGGACAATTTCTGACTTCTTCCTTGATATAAACTTGAGGGCATAAAATGTCAGTGGATATCTGGGAAGTCTTCTTCTGCCAGTATTTAAAAGCCTCAATGGCTTATAACCAAAGGGGAAATGGCTGATGAGTACTGATGCAAGGTTCTCACAGAGAAGAGGAATTGGAGCCCAGTTAGGTTTGTAATTATGACCAAACCTCCCTTTTCAGAATAGAAAACCACACAGGATATGAGAAATTAGATGCCAGAGTGGGGAAAAAAGGAGATTTTTAGAGGATTCGCCAAAATTGTAGTGATTCTGTTTCTCACAGCTGCAAATACCTTCAGATAGCCACAGAATCAAAAAAGGATTTAAGGGTAAAAAGGTGACCTACAGGAGTGCGTTGGATCAGGTAAAAAGAAAAGAAGTCTAAAAGGATTACCTGAGGAAGGAGAGAAAGTCTAAGAGATGGGAGAGCAGCCAGATTGTGGAATGAGAGAACTGCACAAGAGAGCAAGATAAAGTAATAGGACATTCTTCAAGTACAGAAGAGGTCACTGGAAAATAAAAACGGCTTCTAAGGGATGGCAAGAGCCCTTGACAGAAGAAGTAATGTTTGCTTTCAAGAGAAAGCTGGAAGGAGGAAGGGAGGTTTTTCTTTGTCTCAGTATTTGCAGAACTGGAGCGAGGACAGCTGCCACAGACAGTCGGCATGTTACCCCCCTAAGGGATGCAGGAGAGATGCTGAAAGAAATTAGGAACATGGCAGTAAAAGGCACTGGCAAAACCAGTGTTGTGTGAAGATTGAAAGGGGGGAAATCCCAAAAGGGGGAAGAGTGGAGGCAGCCTGTTTTTCTTGTTGCAGGTGCCTAAAGGAGGGAGGGAAGGTGGGTAGACAGCTCGGTAACAAAACAGTGGTGATGAAATAAATGCCTTAAAGCAGGAGTGTGTGCAAGACCAGGATGCACCAGAGGCTGTTGGAAAGGAGGACCAGGTGGAGAGGCCTCTGTGGAGCAGGTACAGCCCTAGGAGCCTTGTCAGAAGGGGCCCTAGGCAGAGTCCCCTGGAGGATCTCCACACCTACACAAGCCTGAGCCAAGAGAAGCTGTTTTCTTGGGGTCTGGCTAGAGAGCAAAGACAGATGGGATGGGGGACTCGTTAGCTCAGGGAGCTGTGGGAAAACACTCAGAGAGGGAGAAATTTGATGACTACAAGATCAGATGAGTGGAGAGGATAAGCATGAGGAGCAGCTCCATGAAATAAGTAAATTTGTGGTTCTGTGGGAGGGGGCTTGAAGAAGAATTAGAGGTCACATCACCAGGACTCATCACAAGAAACAGGAACTGTGGGGCTCACAGCTCTGTTTGTATGGCAGTAGACAGCAGACATCAGGGAAGAAAGAGACTAAGGAAAATGAGGATGGGGAAGTAAACCAGGAAAATGAATGGAAAGGGATCTCCCACTGACAGGCAGTCAGTTGACCACCCTTACCATTGTCACCAAATACCTAGAAAGTCAGGTTGCAATCCAGTGGTCACAAATTCTGCCCTCCTGATGCTTGTGTGGAATGGTGTGAATGACACTCACTGCAAATGAGCAGCGGTCTGGTTTACAGCCAGGAAATATTGATCAATACTGACACCTTTGAAGCCAACCCACCTCTCCCTTTGCATTTGCTCTGAGTAACACCTGTCTTGAAATACAGCTGCCCTCAGATCTTCATGAAAGCCCCAACAAGCAGTAAACCTTGCTGCCATCAAAGAAATGACTGAAGACACCAGATATACTCTTTAATTTTTTTACTAATATAGTAATAGCATTTTAATTGCTTGCAAATGAATTTTTGGTCCCAAAATGTTGCCTTTCAGCTATTGTGGTGATGCAGAATAGAAATTTGGAGGAGGAGGAAACATGGTGGTGGGTTTGGAAGCTGTGTCTGGAGGGCAGGGAAAAATCTTTTGCAGGATGTCTCTTGTCTTGAGGCTTGAAGAAAACTACTTCAAAACTCCCCATTTCTATTGCCCATAGCTACACTCAGTGAGCTCCAATGTGAAATCATTCTCCTTAGCAGAGGAAAAGCAATATAATATAATTTTGGTCCTCAAAATAATGATTCTTAAAGGGAAACAGGAAAAAGCTCATCTTTCACACAGACAGGTTTGCTTGGAAATGCAGGTGGGTAATCTGTGGGTGTGTGTGGAGGGGGGTTACCAACTCCCTCCTTCCCACCTGCTGAAGTCTGGGCTGTCCCAGGGCTTTCCCTTCCTCTGAAGCTCAGAGAAGGGAGAAGGGGTGGTGAGGCTCAGCACAGAGGGGCCCATGCCAGGCAGGAGGAAGGAGTTCAATGAAGAGAAAAAAAGAAAATAAAAAGAAAGGCCCATACAGGGATCAAACTCACAGCATTGGTCTTGTTATCAGCATCATGCTCTGATCTCCTGAGATAACCCGGGGTCAACAGCAATAGGTCTGCAACAGTGGTCAGGACCCAGGCATGAACAAAAGTGACCTCAGGGCTGCTTTTCTTTTGGGTCAGCTGAGCATCTCCAAAGCTCCAAGCCCTCAAATTTTAGGAACTGCAGAGGACAAAGGGGATGGACAGTAAAAAACCCTTTCTGGCTGATGAGCACCCTAGCACTGCTGACTCCAGCTGCCTGTGATGGTTTAACTAGTCTCTGGTTTCGTTCAGACACAAGAAACTCTGGTCAAAGTCATCAGAAGTTTAGGTCCAGCAAAGACCAAGTTTTGGTGACTTTCAGTGGAAAATGAGTCTCTTAATTAAGAATAAACTTAACTATTATTGGGTAACCAGCAAAATGCAGGAGGTAAAGAAGGATGGAGCAATTAAGGGACAATTGTAATTTCAGGCTCCTACATGCTGGGAAACGTTTGTAAGACAAACAGGAGGTGAGAGAGCTCTGTGAGTCTCGAGAGCTGCTCTCATGCAGCAGCCAGACGTGGAGCCCAGACTGTGTCCCTGCAGCAGCACCAGACACTTTGCACACTTCAATGAATCAGGGGAAGTGAGATGATCCCAGAGAGGAACTTTTAATTATCTTGTGTGTTTGGCGTTTTTTCCCTCAAAATCCCCAGCCCAGTCCGATTTTTTTCCAGACTCCTTAAAAAAATTAAAAAAAAAAAAATTGTGGCTCAGAAACAGAAGCAAACTTTAGGCAGGGGATAAACGACGTGCTCAGCCACAATGAAACTCAAGGCAAAGTCTGTCTTCTCTGTTCATAGTGCTGGTTGGAAAACCAGAAAGCTCCCAATTAACTTTCCTGAAAGATTTTTCTTTGGGAGCAATTAATAAGTGCTTTGCAGTTTGACTCGCGTTATTAATTGGATTGGGGGGAGTTAAAAGCGCAAACGCTCTATATGATTTTTTCCTAGGGTCTGTAAACGAAGCTAACAGATGGAACTGACCAGTAACGTGCATCTGGCAAGCCGGGTTTCTTATAAACTTTCCTCCAAACAAAACCATTTTGGTGGCTTTGTTGTTGTTTGAAACGAAGTTGGGCTCCGGGCTGGCTGGGAGCGTGGCTGTGGGATCTTCTGGGCTGTGTGGAAAGGGAGGATGGAGGGGGAAGGGGTCGGGACGGGGGACATCTCTGGCAAAACTGATGTCCTGCAGTGGGGTGGTCTCCTGGCAGCCCGGGCAGAGAGCTGGGAAGGCGCCGGCCCTTGCAGCGTGCGCGCTTCCCCCGCGGCGCGCAAGAGAAGGAATCGGTCCCCACATCGCTCCCTCACACCCGTGGTTTCCTGAAAATAAAATAAATCAGTGCGTAAAGGAACAAGTGTCTTATGGGATAACTTGCTGGGAAACGCGGCCGCCCAGGAGCGCCCTGGGTCACGGCGGGGGCTCGGTGCGCTCCGCGCTGCCTCTGCCTGGCTCGCCCTGGTCCTGTCCCCTCGCCGTGCGCGCCCTGTTCATGCGCTGAGCCGGGCTTGCTTGGCCAGGTCGAGGAAAACCTTTTCTCATCCCCTCTCGAAACAAAACAAAACCATATAAACGTGACTAAAGTGGCAACATAACCAAGTAACCAAAGCCGATAGAGAGGCGGAGTGCTCTGCCATGAATGTTTGGGAAGTGCTTGTCCTCCTTCTCGAAGGGAAGGAATGCCTCTCCTGCCTCTCCCTCCATGGGGAAGGTGCGTTCACGGTGTGTTAACTTTTTTGTCAGGTGTAAGCCTCCCTGCTCAAGGCTGGTGTGGCTGATTCCACTGCGCTCTCCACACTCCAAAGAGGTGTTGGAAAGGGCAAAGTTCCTTACATCATTAGGGTGGGTTTTGTCATGTAGCTTTTTTCAATTCTCTCAAGTATCAAAATCTGGAGAAGATCAAACAAAATCTGAACTTGGAAAAAATTCTAGACTTTTTTTCAATTATATAGTGGGGAGAAATATTTGGTTTCCTTCCTTCCTTCCTTCCTTCCTTCCTTCCTTCCTTCCTTCCTTCCTTCCTTCCTTCCTTCCTTCCTTCCTTCCTTCCTTCCTTCCTTCCTTC